GATTTTTTTATTTATTGTAGAGATGAGGTCTCATCAAGTTGCCCAGGCGGGTCTTGAACCCGCGGGCTCAGGCAATCCACTCACCTCAGCCTCCCAAAGGCGCGAGATTACAGGCTGAGCCACCGAGCCCGGCTAGGAACCACAATTTGAAACCCTAAATAACAGCCAGGAGATACTCCATTTGTATATACTGCAAAGTGGCAAAGCCCCGGCTCCTAAATCATATTATACTGCTGTTAATTATAATGTATTTCTTACCAAAGACCCTAACCATGTACTCTGGAACCACAGAGGTGTAGCCTGATGGAGTAGCATGCTGTCACCTTGTTACCTCTCTTGGTTAAGTGAAATGAGGGCCAAACCCAGAGTGAAAGAGGGCAGGTGGTTAGCTTGTGAAGCTCTGCACTTCAGTAATTCAGGACTCTAGCTGAGCCAGTCGAGCAATTATGTGAAGAGGAGTGTGAAAGAGTGTGCTGAGGAAGGTCTATGGACCACGTCTCTAGACTCGCACTTTCCAACAGAAATATAATGTCAACCGCAAGTACCATTTAATATTTTCTAGCAGACACACACTAAAAAATAAAAAAAAAAAGTAATTTAATTAATATTAGTATACTTATGTTATTAATATATTTATAAATTTACTCATAAATTAATATAATTTTTTATTCATGTAAACTAGTATGTCCCAAATATTACCGATTTACCAAGTAATTAATATAAAAAATCACAGATTAAATGTTTTACATTTTTTATACTAAGTCTTCAAAAGCTGGTGTGTGTTTGACCCTTCTCAATTTGGATTAGTCACATTTCAGTTGTTCAACAGCCATTTGTGGCTAGCGCCTGTCACACTGGACAGCACAATTCTAGACTATTTTTTTGACCAACATTTCAACAGTAGACTTTTCAAAACACAATATTGAGAATGTTTAAGATTCCTACAATATTATATATTTTTATATTAAAAATTTTAATAGAATGGTGATGTTTCCTTCAAATTCTTTTTGTGCCTTGTTTTGGCTGATTTTGTTTTAACTATGATGTGATGTTGTTCCTAATATCCTTCTCCCCTCACTCTGTTGGTTAAAGGAGAGCTGGTTGTATTCACTTATAAATCTTTTCTAAGCCATCCTTGGGAGAGGATCAAGGGGTATAGGATTCATCTTAGTATTCCCAGGATCTATCGCAGAACCTAGTACACAGCAGGCTCTGAATAAATATTTTTGAATACATATTCAAAGATGAACTCAGCTTGACAACAGTGTTTTCCACATGGGTTCCACATTGGAATTACCTGGGGGAGTAAAACAAATTCTGATGTCTGGTCCCATCCCCAGAGATGCTGGTGATGGGTTTAAAGTTTGGCTGGGTACCAAGATTTAAAAAAATCTCCCCCAGGTGATTCTAGTCTTCAGTAGAGTTGAAAACCACTTCTCTAGGGCTTATGGCCACATCCTTGCTTCCCTGAAACAAGATCTAGTTTGCCTCAAGCCGATTCCCTTTCTCTGATAGAACTGAATTTTCTTGAGAGATCCAGTACAGAAGAGGCTACCGTATAACCCCAAGTGGTGATTTGCAACTTCCTTTTCCAAGGTACCAAAGAAGAGTCTCAATGTTCTAAATCTATTTATATTTATCCTTTTTTAACAAAAAGAATAAAATTCATAATATAAGTGTTATAAGATGCTAACTGGTTTGAAGAGGAAGGGACAGCAAGCAGGCAGATAATGACATATACATTGTAGTATTTTCCAGACACGGAATAATTGCAATTAAAAATAAAAATGGAATCCAAGTACACATAAGCCTCATTTCAAGTTAATTCTACATATGTCAAAAATAGACACTATTAGCTGGGGGTCGGCAAAGGAATGTCTTTAATGTTTTTCTTTAGGCTGCTTGCGTTCTACTGACATGGCATAATTATAAAGCAATGTTTGCTTCGGTAAGTCTCATATAAAACCCACCTATTACAATCACATAGTACATAAGTATTGGCATCACTGTTTGCTCCAAGATGATACTTTGCGTGATGGCATTTCTTTTACCATATATGAGGTTCAGCAATGGACAAGAAAGAACTTTGACTTCTCTTGCTTGAATACAAACAATGGTCTCTGCACCAAGGGAACAGCTGGAATTGAGCTCCTCTGACTCACAGACTGAGAATGTCCCTGCCAATTCTTAAGATGGTTTGGCCATACTTTATGGTTTCACCCTGCTTAACACTCTTTTGTTGATGGTGTGGTATCATGTGGCTTTATTAAAAAATAAAACCAACATGTTGAGACAGCCCCAAAGCTTCCTACATGCATTTCCTCTGGCTTTCTAGCAAAGGAAAAAAAAAAAAAAAAAGCTCCTTCCAATTGTTCCACACGTATTTTTGAGAAATTAAAATAGGAAATATCTAAAAGGCATTAAACTTTCATGTTCACTAACCCTGGTCAAAATTGTGAAGGAAGAAACAGAATTTGTTAAGATTTCTAAGGAAGTGCTGGGTCTTATGCATATCACCTCCATTTACTAACCCCAGAGGGCTGGTGAGTGCCAAGTGATTGGATGTGTGACACCCACTTGTCCCTAATTTTACTATCTGAAAAGGAATGGAAAAGACAACATAAGTTTCCAAGTTGTAACACTCATGTAACCAGGAAAAGAATCCCCATTCATCTGTCCAGGCTGACCCCAAATCTGAAATGCATGACAACATAAGCCTCGCATGTATGTTTGTCAGAATGTGTTCTAAGGATCCCTTGAGTTCCATGAAGAGAAAAAAAAGTTTGTTTTCAAAAAGTTTACAGAAACACGAGTAACATTAAAGGATTTAAAATACTAAAACAAACTTCAAAGGTGATATAAAAGCTACAGGACAACTCCGTCTACATTGAGTATATCATCACCATTGGATGATGGACCAACTAACAGAATCACTGGAGCTCTCTGTGGTCAGCCAGCATGCAAGGGCCACTGGGCCTCAGAGAAACCTCTGTGGAATGAAGGGTGTTTCAGAGCCTTGTGTAGGTGTAGCTGATAATGACTCCTACCTTTCTGGAAGAACTCCTCTAGCCTGTCCTTGAACGGCTGTAAGTACTCCTTTGGGGACTCCTTGCACACCACCATCATCTGTTTCTCACTTGCTGTGAAGAGAAGTTTAGAATTAGACTTACTCAAGAACACATATTTGCTGAGTTCCTGCTACGGGTCAAGGCCCGTGCTGTGCACTTAGGGATCAACTGTGCAGACACCTGGTCAATCACTGTTTACGTCCACATTTCAAGGGGGAAAAAAACAAAAAATAGACATAACAACAAAACAACAAAGCTAATTCGTTCATGCTACACCTCTCTTCAGGAACAGGGAGATGTACAATCCTTCCATTTTTCTTCTAGAGATTCAGAAAAATATCTCACCTGGGAGAGGTAATTCTGCTTTTGGTGTCCGAAAAATAAAGAGAGGCAAAAAATGACTTGAAGATCAGTCCCAGGGAATTAAGGTCCCTGACCCTCTTTGTAGTCATACTCTAAAATTAGAGATTGAAAAAGATTTTGCAGAAATTTCCAGGAATCCACATTGTCTGGATTCAAATGGGAGATTTCCCAGGATGACACACACATCCCAGCATGAGAACTAAGCCCACGTTAAAAAAAAATAATAATAATTTCTCTACTACTATCAGATTTCCCTGTGTCACCTTCCTAGTAGGTAGACTTGTAATGGTATTGTACCCAACATTTAAAGATGTGGGGCACAATTCAGGATTAGGTATACAAGTGGTCATCATACAGGTAAAGTTTGGGCCTCCCTTTGATCCCTACTTTGCCAGGTTTGAGATCAGGTATTCTTATTAACGTTACAGGCATCGCCCCCACACCCCCCCGCCCAGCAGTTTTTGGCTACTGCCAATCCATTTCTTTCTTTTTTTTTTTTTAGTTGGAGTCTCACTCTGTCATCCAGACTGAAGTGCAGTGGCTGCTCCTGGCCACCGCAGCCTCGACCTGCTGGGCTCCGGCGATCCTTTCGCCTCAGCCTTCCAAGTAGCTGGAACTACAGGCACGCGCTACCACGCCCAGCTAATTTTTGATTTATTGTAGAGATGAGATACCGCCAAGTTGCCCAGGCGGGTCTCGAACCCATGGGTTCACCTCAGCCCCCCAGAGCTCTGGGATTACAGGATGAGCCACTGAGCTCAGCGCCAATCCATTTCTTATAGAACTATGGTAAATGTTCAGGGTCCGCTTATAAGTGAGAACATGTGGTACTCAGTTCTTTGTTTCTGTGATAAATCACTGAGTATTATAGACTCAAAATCCATCCAAGCTGCTGTGAGGTCCATAATTTTGGTCTTCTTTATAGCACTGGATTTTCACCATAAAGTTATGCCACCAGGTTCAAAAAATAGAGAAATGTATACTACAGACCTTGGAGGAATTTATAAATACAAGAAGAAGAGGTTGGGAAAAGAGGGTTGAGAGGAGGACCTTTATTTACATTGGGAAATTCCTATCCAATAATTTGATGTTTTCAAAACTAGTAACCCAAAATGTTTACTCCCGGCAAAGAAATAAGCATGTTAGCACCGAAACAAAGACAGTGCAAAAGAGGCCACTAAAGTGTCCTCTGAAATTCGTTATTTAATGCTTTTCATGTGCAATATTGCCAGCTAGGTTGCTGAAGTTCTAGACAACTCTGGGAGACTATGAAACTGTGCTGAAGATGAGGCATAATTTGAGGAAATGCTTTGTCATTTTCGGAGTCAAGGTTAGAATTACTTACATTCTCAGAGGTATGCAAGGATTCATCATGAGACAGGGATGCTAGATCACAGGACAGGAGTATCTAAATTCAGGCTCTGTCTATTGCCATTATTTCTAAGAGTTTTTAAGAGAGCTTATCTAATAGCTATATCTACATATTAGTTATTTTGACAAACATTCCAATGCTCTCTTGGAAAACCTTTCTGTTGGAATGCAAAGACTAATTTTTAAAAAAAAATAACCTACCTTATTGAAGAACTACAAATCCTACCTTGAGACAAATGGGAAACAAATTCCTTAAAACTAGCCAAACTAGCCGGGCTTGGTAGCTCAGCCTGTAATCCCGCGCCTTTGGGAGGCTGAGGTGAGTGGATTGCCTGAGCCTGTGGGTTCGAGACCCGCCTGAGACCTCATCTCTACAATAAATAAAAAAATCAGCCGGGAGTAGTAGTGCATGCCTGTAATTCCAGCTACTTGGAAGGCTGAGGCGGAAGGATCGCTGGAGCCCAGCAGGTCGAGGCTGTGGTGGCCGGGAGCGGCCACTGCACTCCAGTCTGGGCGATAGAGTGAGACTCCAACTCAAAAAAAAAAAAAAAAAAACTAGCCAAACTACCATTTCAAATATTCTTTTTTCAAAATTTTACCTTTCCTTGTAAGCTTATTTTTCATTACAATAATTATATAGTATAAAAATTTGTAATTTCTCTACTACTATCAGATTTCTTTTTATCTCCTTCCCAGTAGATAGACCTGTGATGGTGTGTTCTTGCCACCACTATTCTCTTCTCAAAATAAGGTGCTTTGGGCAACAGTGGTGAGTGAGAGGGAGTAGACAGAGCTGGGATATATTCTGGTGGAACAAATATGTCTTGCTGAAGCAGTCAATGTGGGGCTGAGGTAGAAGGAAGGGTAAGGGATGGGAAATGGGCAGCTGGAAGCTTTACCACTGAGATGGAGAATGGTGAGGAGAGTATCTTGCCTGGTTCTTCTTAGTTTGTTTTTAAGAGGGAGAGGAGATCAAGGATTAACTTTGAAGCTTGTAAGTTTGCTTTTGTCTCTATAAATTATAAGACAATCTCATTCTTTGCAAACAAAGGAGACAGGGTACAAAGAAGATAAAACTATTAAAGGGTTCGTGTACTAATTCAATTCAATTCAAACTTCAGAGTCATTCTATTATGGCACATTTAAGTTCTATTTCCCACATATTTTTTACCAATCAAAGTAAAACTATTCAGTGTTTCCTAATTTTATCAGCCAACATGCCCAGCCTCACGTATTCAATTATGTGGTTCTCTGCTCTCACCCCACCCATACTTTCTGCTACATCTGACAAAGTTCTGTTCACCCTAAAAAGTTTCTCTGAGACACCACCATTACCATAAAGCCTTTTTCGATCCAAAGTTTATGCATCCTTCAAACATCTCTATTACCTTTTGTATAATGCTAATGTTTTTCCTTTAATTATATTTATGTGCTAATATCAATCCCTGAGAAATCATCATGCAAGGTTCATTTAGTTGTCCCCAAACTTCTCTAAAGCACTTCATGCATCTGGCCAAGGCATTAGGTTTCCTCAACTTAACTAGATTCGTATGTGGAGGAAAGTCTAAATGAAATTAATAACGTTGACCCAGACTCTGAGTGGGCTTTTCAGGGATGCAGTGTGACCTTCTTGTCTCTTCCTTTTTCCCTCCCTTTCCAGGCGAGGTACACCAAGGGGTCACAGTCTCTGCACTCCTCAAATACTGTGAGGTGTCCCAAGATGATCTGAAAGGGCTGTGTATTTTGAAGACCCCCAGAAATGCCTATCCTTTGGGTAGTTTTGGAGGTAGGCCAAGAAACAGGAGATTGGTCAGATACATTCTGAAGGACATATGCTTTAAAAAAAAATCAGCATTTCTCGGCCGGGCTCCATGGCTCAGCCTGTAATCCCACGCTTTGGGAGGCCGAGGTGAGTGGATTGCCTGAGCCCGTGGGTTCGAGACTCGCCTGCGCGACTTGGCGAGACCTCGTCTCTACAGTAAATCAAAAATTAGCCAGGTGTAGTAGCGCACGCCTGCAGTTTCAGCTACTTGGAAGGCTGAGGCGGAAGGACTGCTGGAGCCCAGTAGGTTGAGGCTGCGGTGGCTGGGAGCATGCCACTGCACTCCATTCTGGGTGACAGAATGAGACTCCGACTCGAAAAAAAAAAAAAAAAAAAACAGTATTTCTCAATGAACATTCATGGCCACATATACTTTCTGATGATTTCCAGTTATGATTCTGAGAATACATTTAGCCATAGTTAAAAGAAATCTAGAATTTTGCACAACATAAATTGAGAAGAGTCCTTTAAGTTTTTTCATTAATACCCCACTATAGTCAAATTCCAATAATTTCATTTATATAGAATTATTTTTCATAAACACAAATAATATAGGATGAGGTATGTCTGCAGTTGTATAATAGAATATCACTGAAGTCATGGTAGTAATTCCTTCAGGGTTACTTCTCCTTAGCAAAAGCAAAAGGCAGAGCTTATTTCTCCAGTTACAAAAGCAAAACGTTCACTTTTGCCTGAATTAACAGGATTGATCTTTGCAGCTTTCCCTTTGTGCTGAATGTGGTGACAGAGCCCATGGGGTGCCCATCAAACTGCTCAAATTTTATGAGGCCATATCATGGGGTGGTAAAGAGCTTGTGCCTGAATGAAGACCCACTGAGGCTCAGATGGGTTGTGGCTTATTTTCTCATCTGCAAAATGCTCCCCCCACTTAAGAAATAATGCACGAATTAAATGAGATAATGCATATATGGGAGTATGTGGAATGCCTAGTGCTAGCAAGCAGGCTCATAAAGATTATCGTTATTTTTATGATTTGGTAAAATTGGTTGGGGAAACATGTCAAAGTCAGAACAGTGAGACAGTCATGGCTGACTTATTCGCTACAGATGCTAGGCGCTGTATTTATGGAAATATGCCACAGTGCAAATCTCCTGTTTGGAACACAGGGATAATGATTTTCATTCCCTTGCTGAAGTTCCACCACCCATTGTGAGAATTCACTGAAGAATGCAGGCAAACTCCTGAGGAAAGATGAAGCAAAATGGGAAACAATCCCCCTCAGCCTCTGAGCCTCAGGGTTTTGAAATTAGAAACTGAAACCAGTACAAACGAGAGCAGAGTCACTGCTGTGCTCCTAGGTCTTCTCTTCACCCCCAAGGGCTGGGACTCCCACGTGGCCTGTTAGAATTAAACTTCTCCAAACGATCAAAGAAGAGGGCTGCCCTCTGAATGTCCCCCACAGCCACACGTTCCGGTGGCCAGGCAGCTTGCCCACTCCAATTTATTAACTTGGCTTATCCGAGATGCTTCCTAGCAGACAAATGGGAGACCTGAA